TGAGATGCCTCCTACCTTTTTTCTATTTTTGAGGAGTGCTTTGATTATTTGGGGCTTCTTTCCATTCCAAATAAAACTGGAGATTACCTTTTCCATCTCCGTGAAGAATGGGATTGGTATTTTTACTGGGATTGCATTGAATGTGTAAATTGTCTTTGGCAGTATTGCCATTTTCACAATGTTGAGTCTGCCTACCCATGAGCAAGGGATATTCTTCCACTTTTCCAGGTCTCTTTCTGTTTCTTGTAGTAATGTTTTGTAATTTTCTTTGAATAGATCCTTTGTGCTTCTAGTTATATTTACTCCCAAATATTTAATCTTGTGATTAGCTATTGTTAAGGGTATTGTTTTCCTTAGCTCCAGCTCTGTATTCTCTTTGTCACTGTAAATAAATCCAACTGATTTTTGTATGTTGATCTTGTATCCTGCTACTTTGCTGAATTGGTCAACTACGTCCAATAGTTTTCTTGCTGAGTCTTTAGGGTTTTCCAGATATACGATCATATCATCTGCATAGAGAGATAATTTTAACTCCTCTTTGCCAATTTGGATACCTCTTATTACCTTCTCTTGTCTTATGCTCTCGCTAAGAATTCCAATACAATATTGAATAAGAGAGGTGAGAGTGGGCATCCTTGCCTACTTCCTATTCTTAAAGGAAATGCCTTTAACCTCTCTCCGTTGAGAGCGATGTTGGCTCTTGGGTTTTCATAAATACTTTTTACTATGTGGAAGAAATTCCCCTCTAATCCTATTTTGTTGAGTGTTTTCATCAGGAAAGGGTGTTGCATTTTGTCAAAGGTCTTTTCTGCATCAATTGATAGGATCATGTGGTTCTTTTTCTTTGCTTTGTTAATATGATGAATTACATTGATTGTTTTCCTTATGTTGAACCACCCCTGCATACCTGTTATAAAGCCCACTTGGTCATGATGGATTATTTCTTTGATGTATCGTAGAATTCAATTGGCGAGGATTTTATTCAGTATTTTTGCATCTATTTTCATAAGAGATATTGGCCTACAGTTTTCAATTTTGGTGGTGTCCTTTCCTGACTTTGGTATCAAGGATATGTTAGCTTCATAGAATGAATCAGGGAGAATTCCATCTTTCTCTATTTCCTGAAATATTCTATGTAGAATTGGTGACAATTCCTCTTTGAATGTTTGATAAAATTCACTAGTAAAACAATCAGGTCCATGGCTTTTTTTGGTCAGAAGTTGTTGTATTACCTTTTAAATTTCTTCTTTTGTAATGGGTCTGTTCAGATGTACAATTTCAGTTTCTGTTAGTTTAGGTAGGTTGTGCATTTCTTGGTATTTCTCCATTGTCTCTAGGTTTTCATATTTGTTTGCATATAATTTTTCATAATACTCTAATGTTA